AGATAATAAAAGATAAAGGTACCGTCCTCGTGATTCACGTGTAATCTGACGTTTTTTTCGAATCTAATTTCGCATTTTTGTTATCTTAACTTTAGTCATTGATAAAGAATTGATCAATAAATAAGAATTCGTATATATATTCGTGTATTGTCATTAGTCAGTATATAGCAGCATTCAGCTTGTGTATTGAAATAGCTCAGTGGCTATCAGAGACTATCACATCATGAACTCCGCAATACTCAGTGTGCTGCTCATATCTCTCAGTGGACTCTGCTACAGTGCTGACTCTGTGGTGGACGGTACTGAGCTTCTCCTGACCTTTCTGGTGAGTACCATAACATTTTTGTCTTAGCTTTAAAATATATTTTTGTTTGTTTTTTATTATAAGTGTAGTGCGTAAAAAACCATAAAAACTAAAGGTAATTGGAACAATTTGATTTAATAATAATTTGTATTTGAAGAACAAACGATGGTCAACATAGGTATTAATTGATAAAAAGAATAAAAAAAAATAAAACAATCATATGGCAACAAGTGACAAAGGTATCGACAACGTATGATAAAGTCGCAAGAAACAAACTACTGATTTAAAAGGAGTAAAACTTCATGATTAATTTTTATATTTGATGAATATACATTTCAGATCCATCGACATGGTGACAGGACTCCAATCGAATCATTCCTAGCTCTCAGCACCCATGCTGAGGAACTGGAGGATGCCTCAGCTAAATACGGATACGGGCAACTGACTGATGTAAGTAATGCATAATTATACAATATACATGAACTTACATTTATTATGCCCTGTGGACAAGGAGAAACTACCATACTTACATACTTATTTAATATTCCAATTATGTATCAGCCCTAGTTTTGAAAGATTTATTGGTATCAATTTTCATAGAGTTGTGTAAAAAACATTCTCATTCCAGGTCGGCAAACGTCGTGCTTACCAGCTGGGAGAGTTCATCAGGCGGCGCTATGACGGGCTCCTGTCTCCAAACTTCAACAAATCTGAAATCTTCATTCGCTCCACTGAATCCACTAGGGCTAAAATGACAGTGCTGACTGCGCTTTCTGCTATCTACCCTGCTCCTGAGGACAACTGGAGCGAAGACATCAACTGGACACCTGTTCCCTACACCACCGTGCCTGCTAAATACGACTTTGTGAGTTGATCACTGGTTTAATAATTAATATCTGTAGAGACCAACCCATTAAAAATTGTTAGCTTAAAATTTATTCTAACAATAATCCAATGGATAGTGCTCTTACATCATTAGACTTCACTATTAATCTGGTCATTAATGTTCCAGAACTTGGCTTCATTAAACTGTCCGGAATTCACAGCAGCTTTCTATGCATCTGGTACACCAGCAACAGTTCCTGAATTGGACCAGTACGCAGATATATTGGCCAAGTGGTCCAGTATAGTAGGATACAATATTTCAGCTGAACCCTTAATGCTTGCCTACTCTTTGAATGACTTGTACGTCAGCCAGGTAATAATTACTTTTATTATTGCATCATATACATTTAGGATGACATGGCATTTGCACGTATAGGTGATGAATAAAGTTCAAGTATTGTTGTGGTCAAATATTTACTTGATGACGTCACAACTGATATAAACAAAGTACTTGATAATACATACATTGTATGGATTAAATGGATTAAACTGTCAAACACCAAGCGGTCACCGGTGACCGCAACCTATTGTTCTATAATTGTGTCTACAAAACCGGTACTCGACGAGTTAAGGTAATTTTTATGTTTGCCTACAAAAGAGAACGGGAAACGATAAGGCCACCCATCCTTCTATTACCTATTTACGATACTTGAATAAATGTCCTTAACAATACGCCTAAAATTTCAAAACGGCGATACAATTAGTAGTTGGTAAAAACCCTTTAAAAAATAACAGCATAATATGTGTTGCCTTCTTTTCACAGATGAGTTTAGGAATCCCTCTGGATGACGACATCGCAGCTATCTACCCTGATATAGAGAAGATTGCCGGTATAGCTATCAAAGCTATGTACGACCCTGAAGAAGTGAGAGCTCTATCTGGAGGTAAGTCTTACTATATCGAACTTACTATTTATTTATTAAAAAAAAAATAGTTCCAAGTCGAAAGTCTCTTTAACCGTCGGCTATTCCTTAACAGGTGTACTCCTGAACCAGTTTTTCACTGTAGCTGACCAGCTCATTGCTGGAGAAGACGTGCAGAAAGTTCACATATACTCCGCTCATGATGTGAACGTGTTCGCCTTGGAAGCAGCTACCAAAGTGGTCAACACTCAAGGAGTTCCCAAATACGCGTCAGCATATGCTTTGGAATTGAGGAAAGTTGTGGAGACTGGGGATTATGTTGTGGTGGTAAGTGGAATAAAATGAGATACAATTTAGATTCATATAGTTCTTACCTTCGCTTCACTTCTACCCAGCGGGTCACATAAACTAAATCTGTTTTGCCCAGAAAGGGCGAAGGAAAGAAAGATAAAGAGCTTAGGAACACACTCAGTCTAACACTCCATTATATTTTGTACATTGACTGACTAACACAAATGTTAATAATGCGCTCTAGAAGTAAAGACGTGTCTAATTCCTCTTTTTTATTCGTCGCTAATACTATACTTATTTTGTTAAGTGACCCAACTGTTTAGAAGGTTAGACAAAGATCTACTGCTTTAATAACTGTATCGCCTTTTTCAGCCGACGTACCTGCCTACTCCAAGTGAAGATGTGATCACGTACCTCGAGATCGAGGAGTGCGGCCAGAAATGTGCGTACGAGAGCTTCCGAAGCGTCACTTCTGACATCGTCATGAATGAGGATGACTGGAGGACTGCCTGCGGCTTCTCCGATGATATGGTCTTTGATACCTCATCAGTCGACTAAACACTTGATGATATTGATGACTTTCGCTAAAAGACTGAAATAATAAAAACATTTTGTACCATCCGTTTTCTAATAAATTTTTACTGCATTTTTATAAATTCTTTGTTTCTCTTTTAATGAAACCCTGCTGTTTAGTAAAAATATTTTTAAATAATAAAAAAACAAAGACCACGTTACTTTTGCTTTTAAGACTACTTGAATCATATTCTGCTTAAACAGTGATTTTCCTATTCTAATGTGCTGTGTGAATTCTTCCATTAATCATTGTTTATTGGTCGGATCTATGACAGTTAGTGCAGTCACTGGGAGCGAGACAACTGGACTTTATATTTTCGATGTTTTTAGAAATTGAATAGCAGAATACAGTATTTTATAATAACTATCGTGAGACATACTAAATTAACTAAAAATCGCGGGTTACTCACGTGAATATACTGAGAAGAGCTCTGTTAGTTTTGAGACACAGAGGGGCTCTTCCTCATGAGCAGCGTGCGCGGTCGCGGCGATATCGCGCAGCCTACCTTTTCCTACATTTTTAAGTTATTCAGTAATACTGTAGTAGATATACAGGACTTTCAATGGTGGCTTACAGGACTTTCAATGGTGGCTTAGTACCTAACAAAATTTCAAATACACTAGCAAATCAAGCTAACCCATTCTGTTTTTATACATTTTCTACTTTATTTCAAGACGGTTAAGTTGAAAATTGATGGTTAAGGATAACACATCTGTTTTCATAGTATTCTTCAATATATTATCGTAATTCCTCGACCTCCCTTAGGAAATTATGGCACGGAAAGTAATTCTTGCTTAGAATAGTTTAACACAAGTATATCTTATGACTGACAACTTGACTGTTTCATGCTAAACGAATTATGGATATTCATTAGTTATTGTGTAACTAGGGAACTAAGTGAAGTCGTAGAATATTGTTATTGTAACTTTAATTGTAATACTAGCTAAAGTGTTAGAATGAAAGTGATAATGTAGCCTCCTACTTTGAATGTAAATGCAATGAAAACTAGACGGAATTGGGATGATGACAGGGTATGAAAATTAAAAATCTAATTAGTCCGTACGTTAGGTAAATAAAAAATTTTAGACACGTATTTTTTTATTTTGTTGTATAATAAAAAATACTTAGATAAAACGGGGGGGCTAAAACGTCATTTTTAAGTATAAAATGTATGTACATAGAAGTGACGTCACGTGACATTTTAAATCAATATTATATCGTCGAAAGTATTCGTTTCTGTAACAAAATAAAAAATACGTGTCTAATGATTTAAAATAATCTACCAGAAGGACATTAAAATAAAAAATTAGGCATCTACCCAATTTTATTGTTTGGATATTTAATAATGCCCAAAAAGTAGGTTTTAAACAATCATTCGATTTTAGAAAAATCTCAATAATTTCTTTTTTTTAAGGCATAAGCCGGTAACCGAGCAGACGGATCACCTGATGGTAAGCAATCGGCGTCGCCCATGGACAGCTGGAACACCAGACGCATTACAAGTGCGTTATCGTTCTTTTGGGGATTAGGAGTTTGAGCATCGTTGGGGATTCAGGGATTGGGGAGATTGGAGAAAGTCCCTTTGAATTACGCGAAATTACTCCGGTCTCAGTCCGATCGAGTCGGTCCATTCGTGCCGAAGCATGGCTCTTCCCACAGAATTATTAAAAAAATATATCTGTGGCTCTCCCACACTAAAAGGTCACGGTTGTGCAGGGTAAATAGCTCGATCCAAATCAAAACGACCTCAGTATAACACCTATGTTCATAACTCGTTAAAAGTGGATGTGATAATTACCTAAAACCTAATACATATTACCTTTTACTAGCTCCTCTATCGAAGTCTACTCTTTAGGCATCAGGATTGGTGCTGGGGCTGAGCAACCTGCCGCGCAAAGTCATGTTTATGAGAAATTGTATGTTTGTAAACGCACCCACGACACAGGAGAAAATCCTAATGTGGGGCAACGTTTAAAAAACAAATCTTCCAGAGCTATCGGTACAATATAAAGTTATGCTTAACTTGCCTATGTGATTAAGCAAAATAATACGAACCGCGAATGTAGAGGTAGAAATTCACAGTAAAAATAGTCATTTATTTCAGTCTCATTACAATATTCCTTAGATCATTATATGTCAAATAATTTATAAGCCTTGTGTCCACTAGTCAACATTTGATGCTTCAAATAATGTTGTAGCGAAACAAATAACATGTTGTGTAATGTTGCGCGCCCGCTGGCAACGTTGCGCGAAGTTCTGCAACATTACCGAACATGTTGAACGTCACGTATCGTCAAAAAGAATATAAAACCTTTCGGTATTTATAATGAAGGTTTAAAAATATTGTCATCATCTTTATTGTTGAGTAATGAATACGCGGCTTTAGTCAATAATAACACTGAAGTCATCCAAGAAGCCACACTCAGCTCTCCATTCATTCTCCTTCAAGCTATACTTAGAAGTAATGCTTCGGAAGGTCTCGTAGGCACATATCTGCCCACAATTTTCAATCTCCAGGTAAGTGATCACTTCTGTTTTGGGAGTGTTCAGGTATACAGGCTGAAAATAACGATATAGTTATTAAAACAGTGACTTTTTATATAGTTATTAAAACAGTGAAAATAACGATATAGTTATTAAAACAGTGACTTTTTATATTATATTAACGATATAGTTATTGAAACACTCGATAGATGTACGATAGGTTGCCAAGAGATGGCGCTGTTCTAAATCGAAATGATAATTAAATTAGAATTAACATAGTTATAATCAACATTTGAAAACGACAAAGAGGACTATTAAACTGGATTATAGGCACTGTTAAGTGACATAAAATTAAGACCTTGGTATAAACATAGATTTAAGTGACACATTATGTATTTTTCATTGTCTCATATAGGTACTGGCAGTTAAGAGGTTAAAGGCCTCAATACAAGCAGATACCAGAACAGTTGAAAAAATGTCCATTGTACAAGTCCAAATCACATCGATAATCACAATCCGTAGAGGATATTGTACTTTAATATAATTATTATGTATCTGTATATATAAAGTTATCCTTTATTAAGATTTCTTACCACGACAACATATTCTCCAGTATCTATCACTTTCCTCAATTCTAAAGCATATGCGGACGCGTACTTGGGAACTCCTGGAGGATTGGCTATTTTGGTAGCTGCCTCGAAGGCGAACACGTTCAAATCATGAGCGGAGTATATGTGAACTTTCTGCACGTCTTGTCCAGCAATAATCTTGTTAGCGACGGTGAAGAACTTGTTCAGGAGTACACCTGGTGAGGACAAAATGAGATGGTTAGAGGGTATTGATTGCCTGTTTATTCGAGTGATTATATATGTGATTATTGTGCTCCTAAGTTCCATTTTCCGACCGAAGTATCAGTAATATTAGTATGAAATAATATCGGTCGAGGTGGCCCGGAGATTTAGGACGCCCGCTTCTCATTTATGAGGGCACGGGTCCGAAACCTACCAACAACAAGTATCAATGTGAGTATATGTACTTTTTAAAACTGTTTAGACACTACTGACTAACGGTGAAGGAAAACATCGTGAGGAAATTTCTAATTATAAGTTTGAAATCGCCAACCCGCATTGAGCAAGCGTGGTAATTAATGCATAAACCTTCTGCGTGTTAGAAGTGACCTTTGGTCAGCAGTGGCCACTTATAGGCTGTTGATGATGATGATGAATAATAAGGAAAAGTTCTTCTTTTGAATGACAGTCGTAATTCATTGTTATCAAATCAGAACTGTCTAGGTTCGTGTCTCTGTAAATATTTTAATTTCTTACCAGCAGACAGGGCTCTCATGTCATCAGTATAGAGGATAGTCTTGATAGCTATTGTGGCGATCTTCTCTATCTCCGGATAAATATCTACGATGTCGTCTTCCGGAGGAACTCCTAAACTGATCTGTGGACAAATGAGTATTGTTATAGGGAAATATATAGAACTTATTGCATTGGTGTTGTATAAGAATATCGATTTTCATAGCCTGAACATGTGTAGTAACCCCGTGTCGAATGTTTGAATTAATAAGAATTTTGTTTATATCATTGATTAAGTTGTCATCAAGTAAATTGTTCTATAGAAATATGGTTTATATTGACTGAATTTTATCGGATAGTGGGGTACCATTGACTGAACAAAAAACGAATAATTTCAGTTATTTCTTTCTATATCCTGGGCATGTCCTAATCGTTTGGGGTCTTCACCAAAATCGAAAGAATTATATTGGTAGTGGGCATGGAGTGACTTCTATCAGTTCCATCTGTCATCTCTAACCAGCTAAAGGTGATTTTCGTTCTGTAATTGTGCATTTAATAAATATAATTACCTGACAAGCATAGAGGTCGTATAAAGCATAAGGTATTATTAAGGGTTCCAATGATAAGTCGTATCCCACTATATTGGACCAATGCTCCAATATGTCTGCATACAGGTCTAATTCAGGAACTGATGATGTTATTTTAGGCCTAAAGAAAGATTCTTTGAATTTCGGGCAGTTTACTACTGGTAAGTTCTGGAAAAGAATATAATTATTATTAATAGGCCACATTAAATAAGATGTCGTATAATAGGGGTTCTATCAGACAAATATTAAAATATGTGAAAGTTCCTTTGATTGAATGATTGTCCATCAATCCCACTGAAATTACTGAACGGATTTTGATGAAATTTTGTATACAGATAGGGTTTGGGCTGACTTATGTGATAGGATTTTTTACCCCGATTAAATGCTCCCATGGAATAAAATAATAATCATATTCCACGCGGACGAGGTCGCGAGCTATAGCTAGTGTAATAAGAAGTGAGACTACACTGAGACAGATAAGTCAAATTTTATCTATTACTAAACACAAAACCAAATTACCAAGATGCTACGATTATTGGTTTTAAAGGCAAATTAATCTCAGTTTCGGGTATCGGGAACCAAACTTGAGTGTTATCGACATAACATAACATAACATCACGCCTTTTATCCCCGAAGGGTTAGGCAGAGGTGCAAATTAGGACAGTTAATGCCACTGTACAATGTAACCACCACCCACTTTTCACTATTTATATTATGAGTCCCATGTCATAGGGGGTGAGCCTATTACCCTATACCGGGCACATATCCAGACTCCGTGCTACTTCCGAGGTTTTTACAAACCCAGTAATATTTTGCCCGACTCGGGAATCGAACCCGAAATCCTTTGCCCGGCAGTCGCACTTGCGACCACTCGGCCAATGAGGCAGGCAGAGTGTTATCGACCATTGTCAAAATTACCAACGAGGCAGCTAATTTTAATTATTTATACACCTTATAAAGAAAAAAAGTAGTATAGGTCCCAAAACATAGTATAGTGTGCAAACCATAGTCTAAGGCGTCCCCCAGCCAGTGGAGTGATGATATCTGCAAGGTGGCTGGCCAGTTGTATGCAAAAAAACTCAAGATCGAGCTTCATGGCCTATCTTTTTTTTTTTCTTTAAGGGGCGGAAATCATGGAATGACTTCTCCCGCCTGGGTGAGGCGGGAGGGAGTATCAGACTCTTACTGACTAAAAACCACGCCGGTCCTACTCCTGCACTTCGAGCTGAAGCCTCGGTAACCCGTTAGGTTCTCTGCTGCTCCGTATCGGCATCAGCCCTATTGGGCTCCATCCGTGGTGGTCTGATGGCTCTTTGAGACGCGCGCGGAACGCGATACGCCGCCGTACGCTCGGTTATGGCCTACCATTAGAGATGCAATTCCCAATAACATTTATTAGACAAACTTCCAACTCACAAAGTCATATTTTGCAGGCACAGTGGTGTACGGGACAGGTGTCCAGTTGATGTTAGTACTCCAGTTGTCCGCAGGGGCAGGGTAGATGGCAGCAAGCGCAGTCAGCACTGTCATCTTAGTCCTGGTGAAGTCAGTGGAGCGGACGTAGATCTCTGACTTATTATAGGTCCGGGACAAGAGCTTGTCATAGCGCCGTCTGATGAACTGGCCCAGCTGGTAGGAACGCCGTTTGCCAGACTGGAATGAAGATTTTATTAAAATTATACCTACTCTTAAGGAATTAAGAAGGAGGATAGGGATTATCCAGAAGCCTTGCTATGCGAAAGATTAACAGAAGACTTAAGTATTTCCTATATCTGTGCGATTAATTATCAACAGCCTATAAGTGCCGACTACTGAGTAAAGCCTCTTCTCACACGTAGAAGGTTTGAGCATTAATCACTACGCTTGCTCAATGAGGATTAGTATCTGTGAGGTTACGGATGAATAAATGATTGTAGGAACATAGCCCTATATAATTTTATCAACAGGTTTTGGGTCCATATATCGTCCACGATAGTGTAATTGTCAACAATCTAAAACCGCACAATAAAACGTTCAGGCTATCGTGATTTTAGTCATAAATCTACTATGTATTGTTTATATCTTACGTTAGTTAGCTGTCCAAATCCATATTTGTCAGATGCCTTTTTAAGCTCATCAGCATGATGGGTAAATACTAGAGATGATGGTACCGGAGTCCTATCACCATGTCGATGAACCTGCAATATTTATTAATTTGTCATAAGATAATTGGGATAATAATTGGGCCCTATACATTAGTCAGGAGACGTCCACAGACGAACAGAGGTTATAGGCTTAGGAAGTGAATTACTGTTTATTGTGTATATTTGTCCCAAGGCCGGGAAATGTCTTGGTGATTGCAATTAGGACACGACCGGCATTTAGGTACTGGTCACATTTATATGTCCGATTTATGACTTATACAAGTTTTAAAAACTTATTATTGCAAGAATAAAAATGTATTTTAAATAAATCATCATTATGTCTTCACGATTAAATCAAAGTTCTAGAGTGCAGCGTAGGACGTCCACCCTTAAAGTGGATAAACAATCTACTTAAGGTCGCAGAGAGCTGCTGAATGCAGGTCGCTTCCGATCGGTCTATCTGGAAGTCATTGGGGGAGGCCTATGTTCAGCAGTGGACGTCCTGTGATTGATATGATGATGATCATAAGTCATCATTTAGCAAGAGCACTCACATTAAGTTTTTAATTGTTTTAATAGCTTAATCTACTTTGTGTAAGAGTTCGAATATCAATTGATGAATTTTGACAGAATACTATAACTTAAAGTGTACCTACGTATGTAGAAATTACACTACTTCCCTACTTGAGTCACATTAGGAGACAAAAGTCCCACGACATGTGTCGGCGATATGCCAAGCTAAGTCTGCCGATTTCGCCCGATATTATATAGGAAACAACGCGCGCTTTATGTCCACAGCGACATTGATATTGCCAGACATGTCGACCGAAGTCCGGCAATGTCGCGCTACGCCACCCAACGTCACCGACGACACGCGTCACAGAACATTTGTCTCCTAATCATAGACTAAAATAATATACTGGACACCCCTAATGTACCCTTGACTTTAACCGTTAAGAAGAACTTTAAATTATGTTGAAATGATGATACATGATTATTTTACTCACCAAAAAAGTCATAAGCAATTCAGTACCATCCACGACAGAGTCAGCATTGTATCGCAGTCCCCTCAAACAAAATAACACAAAAAACAAAAGCGAAGTGTAAACGAACATGTTTCAAATATACACTGAATCATTTACAAATAAACTGGTAAATACTGGATAGTATGATATCGGGAATAACACTATAAGATGATTAAAGCATTGATCACTTCATTGCAAAATAGTTAAATGATTGATTGTTAAATTACGGCAGCAAATACACGGATTTTTAAGTTATTTTCGTCGTTCTGTTTTGGCTGTGTGAAGGAGAATGTTTGTGGGAAAATATGTGGGTAAGTTAGATTTTATTTTAATACGTTTATCAGCATAACAAAACTACCGTATACTCGATATTGTTATCTAGTGAATAGAAAAGAAATTAGACGACTTAGCGTAATATCGCGCCTTTTAAACTGTCAAGCACCAAGCGGTCACCGGTGACCGCAACCTATTGTTCTATAATTGTGTCTACAAAACCGGTACTCGACGAGTTAATCCTTGAAGCGGTAGGTAGGGTTGTAAACTGATCATAATAAGTCCATTTATCCTAATGAAGGTCATGTCCGATTTGTTGTAAAATCGGTACATAAGGTAAAATAAATCGAGATTTTGTGTTGTACGTACATCGAGATAAATTAAAATCGTAGAGGTTTTTAACCGACTTCAAAAATGTTATCAGTTTGGCCTGGGTCTTACTCTTACCGATCGATCGACATTGGTATTGTAAAATTTCGTAGGTACTCTCGAATTGCAACATTAGCTCCCAGTATTGCGTGGATATTGAATGGACTAAATGGTATTGAGTTTGGTTTTATATTCCGTACTCTGAATGCTATTTCAACAACAACGATTTGGGGTTGTATAGTTTTGACATTGAATAATTATTGAGATTTTATTGGACTGAAATTGAGATTGGTTTCAAGAGTAAGCACCCTGTCCTGTGACATACATACCTACATGTACACATACATACTAACTATGGAAAAAGAAGTCTGGAGTTCGAAGGTATTAAATTATACAATAGACTACCATCAATGATAAGGCAAGAAAAAAGTTATGTGCGGTTCAAAAAATTACTTAAAATTAATATAATTAAACTGTCAAACACCAAGCGGTCACCGGTGACCGCAACCTATTGTTCTATAATTGTGTCTAAAAAACCGGTACTCGACGAGTTAATAACTACAAATTATGAATACTTGTAAGTATAATTAAAATATTGACTAGTGTTTACTCCTAATAACGTAAAAGGCAAATTCTAAATAGTTTAAATTAAATACCAAGTACAATAGTAAAATAAAACAAGTACATTAAGACGTATAAACTATGCCATCAATGCCACATCTAGTAAAAATAGTTCATGTATCAAGTCATTGATTAACTTATTGGTTTACCCACATTTACTTCATATTTTTGTTATAGTTTACTGGTCTGCCCGTGTTGCTTGATTCTGTTATTTGTGTATATTTATCACTGTACTCACATTTTTAAATAGTGAACATTTGTATTTGTTCTTTTGTATTGTTTTTGTTTATATTATTATGTACGTACTACTGTGCGCTCTGAATTGTTTACTTTTGTACGAAATATTGTTTCTCAGTAAGTGAATTATGTATATGATTCTTTATGAGAAATAAAGATATTCTAAACTAAAAAACATGTATGTTTGTGCACGTTTTTCTGAACCTATTTTTAATGCGGTTTCTTAAAAAGTGTTTGACACTTAGGAGTACCTTTTAGTATATTAATTAAATGACTTCAAAAATAGAAGGGGTTGAACCAAACGATCTATATGGGACGATTGAGCTCATCTCGCGAGAATCAAAGTCCTGGGAACGGCTTCAGGACTCCTAGCAACACTAGTGACAAATGAATGTCATGCGACTCAGCGACTGTTGGCGCGGTAATGCTCAGCCATGAGCATTACTAAGCAACTGGCTGCCGCGCAACGTATCGCGGGTACCATTCCCGCATGGAACAACTCTTTGTGTGATCCACTGATTGTTGTTCCGGGTCTGGGTGTCATGTGTATGTGAACTTGTATGTTTGTAAACGCAACGACACAGGAGCAAATCCCAATGTGGGGACGATTTTATAAAAAAAAAATATACCACGATTTTAGAAAAAAAAATTAAACAGAAAGTGGTAAATTCTCCATAAATAAAAATAAGAAGAAAAGAAATAAAAAAGAAAATACCTGACTAACGTAATCATTTGTATATTTTAGAATATCTAATGTTATCTTTTTTATTCGAATGGCTTTTGAGACGCGAAGAACTTCAAGCCTAGACTAGACGAATTTAAAAAACACAGTCACGTAAGTACCTATGTTTCTCAAATGGAAAGCATTCATAGCTACATACATGTAAACCACTCTTTTATAATTTTGAAACAAATCAAAGAACCATTCTGATATATCAGATTTCTTACGTTCAACAGATTGAAATATTGAATGAAATCTTCGTCGCTTGGGATTGGAACGCGTGATAAACATATAAAATATAGGTACCTACTTTGGTACTTTAAATCATTTGTTTGTGTTTCTCTACGTTCTGTATATCTGTCTGTATATTTGAACAGGTATTATGCTAAAATTACTGTATAGATTTGGATGAAATATGGTTCAGAGATAGATTAGTCTAATAGCTAGAATAACTTTGATCTACGTTTTACTTACAGTCGTGATGAAACTATTGGATTAATATAAAAAAAAATTTCACCACTTGAAAGCTTACTTTTTCTATATCTATTTATAGGCCAGGCAGTCAAGCACACATTATACTTAAGCTACATTTTAAGACAATATTCCTACAAATAGCAATGACCGGAGCATAGTTTGTTCCACAACCCACCAAGGTGTCGCGGAGAACCTTACGGGTTACCGGGGCTCCGGCTCGACGTGCAGGAGAAGGAACGGGGTGGTTTTTAGTCAGTAAGAGTCTGATACTCCTGCCTCACCCAGGCGGGAGCAGTATTACGATGATTTCCCCCCTTAAAAAAAACCTACCAAGGTTCATTCACAAAGGCATATTGAATATCACCGTATTGAGTAATTGTTTTATAATAATAATAATATAACATCACGCCTTTTATCCCCGAAGGAGCACGCAGAGGTGCATATTAAGGCACTTAATGCCACTGTACAATTTAACATCCACTTTTAACTATTTACGTTATGAGTCCCATGTAATAGGGGGTGAGCCTATAGCCATATAATGGGCACATTTCCAGAATCCGGGCTACTATTTTCTACTGAGATTTTTTAAAAACCCAGTAATACGTTTGCCTACCCGGGCATCGAACCCGAGACCCTTAGCAGTAGCACTTGCGACTCGACTTATGAAGCAGTAATTATTGTTATAATATAATTACTTAAGTATGACACTTAAGAGTTATCTTAGGTTTACTAACTAAGTTACATGTCTTATAAAATAAAGATAAAAAAACAGGTTTATGTTAGATTTAAATATGTTTTTTTTATAGCATCAGCCGGTAAACGAGCAGACGGATCACCTGATGGTAAGCAATCGGCGTCGCTCATGGACATCTGGAACACCAGAGGCGTTACAAGTGCGTTACTGGCTTTTTGGGGATTAGGAGTTTGAGGATCGTTTGGGATTCAGGGATTGGGGAGATTGGGGAAGGGGAGGGTAATTGGGCCTCCGGTAACCTCACTCACACGACGAAACACAACGCAAGCGTTGCTTCACGTCGGTTTTCTGTGAGGCCGTGGTATCACTCCGGTCGAGCCGGCCCATTCGTGCCGAAGCATGGCTCTCCCACACTTAAAAT